GAAGGAGACACACAATGGCACCAGCCTGTCATACTCTCAGTCACCTGCAGAGTATGTGAGTTCCTGCCCAACATCCTCAACTGCAACATTCCCCACTGCTGTAGTAACTGTTCAAACAGAAAGTTATTTCAGCTGCATTCTTGTACCCACTGGGTTTCTTAATCTAGTTATTAGAGTCCACAGGTTTACGAAAGAGATCCATCCTTAAGTCTGTCTTTAAGTTGAATTTGTAGGTGTGTCAGAAAAATAATAATACAGGACATAATAATTATTATTATTATATAGTAACAATAAAAGTAACTACAAACGGTACTGTACTGGACCTCGAGCAACGAACCGCAGAAGCCATGCAATTTTTTCATGAGCGTCACAATGCAGTGAGTGCGTCCGTTATTACGGACCATTGTATTTAAGCTGAATTTTTAATATAATAGGGAGTCTTTAATATTATAATAGTCTGTTCATAAGTACGAGTTGTCTGTGAGTCGTTCATTCTTAACCCAGGAGCTGCCTGTACTGGAAAAGAGCATTTGGTAAGAAGGGGGCCCCTTTAGCTTTATGTACATGTGGGGGGGTTACATTGACCTTCACATATCTGCAACTTATTAATCCACTTGGGCTTTACATGCAGGCGGGGGCATAGCTAGAAATTCTGGACTCCCCAGCAAAATTTCATGTTGGGCCCCTTTGCAGATTCTGTCAACTGGGCCCCAGATATTAGATTTTGGGGCCCCAATAAAGTGCCGGGCCCCCTGAATCTGCCAAGGCATCCATGCTAATCCGACGCCCCTCAGACTGGGCGCTAAGTTTTTGTGAATGGTTTTTCAGATGGCTGTGATCTGCCACCTCAGGGAAGTATTTCTTAGGATCCTTCACCTCCAGCAATGTCTCCGTCAATTTACTGAATCAGTTATATTTCTGTGTCAAGCATGTCAACCTTGGAAGAAAGCAAGCAGCTCAGCTCCTTGTCACATGTGGCAACTGCTCAGCATCTTCTACTTCATCAGCAACTGCCACCTTATGGTTCTGTTCAACTTGCACCACCTAGTGGCCATGATTGTAACCTACATCACCCTGTTTCTCCAATTTCGTCATCTACTGGAGGGGTCCAAATTCAAATTACATCACTTTGGTACAGTATGCAAACCGTGGATTGGGGGGGGTCCCTCTATAGATCTCTCCAACTGAGGGCAGATAGTCTCCTTCTGTAGATTTCGCTAACTGCCGGGTCCACTTTGGTAGGCAATAGTGCTAACCACTGCACCACCATACCCCCCCTAGGGTCGTAATCACACATGCTAAGTCTTACCCATAGAATCATTATGTTTTTTTTGCGGTATGGATGGAGAGGGTGCTTTTTGGAGGGATTCTTTGATATCCCAAAATATATGACAGCTATGATATGAACTAGACTTACTTTTGGGAGTATATTCTTAAAACTTAACAAAATTATTACTAGGTTATAGTGATCTGTATTTGTGGGGGGAGAGAAAGCATGTTATTTGCTAAATTAAGTCGTTGGCTTAAAAGGCTAGATGACGTATTCTGATCTAGCTAGGAGAATTAAGTGTATTAGATAAGAAAAAAAGTAATACAGAAAACTTAAGATATAAACCACGGAAAATTAGTAAACAAGCAAAGTAAGCATGCATCTCAGTAAACGACTCATGTAAGCACAAAAAGCCACAAGCTTTTACAACACAGTGCAATACAAAATAGTGCAGAGTTTACACAAGTAATGCAGCGGTTTTACATGCAGTGCAAGTTAAACGCAAAAAAGATCAGTCAGCGATGCCTGGAAGCCTTTTTCTTTCTCATACACATGAGTGACTGGTGCTGAGATGGGAGAAAATCCCACTACATTAATACTGGGAAAATGTCGGAGAGACAGTATGTGTGGCAGGATAATAAGCATCACATCCTTTTTATTTTAATAACTGTTTATTGACTTAAGCTATGAAGGATCAAACACTTTTTGTCGCCCATTAAGCCCATTATGGGGTTGATTGACACACACTAAGGGGATGGTTGTCAAAATATTATTCAGTGTTTTTTTTTTTTTTGGTACTTTTAAATACATCCATATCACTTGTGTCTTGTAACTTTCAAAATGTAGAAAGACAACAATTAATAAACACATCATTGCTATTATGCCATATTTATTAATAAACACTAAAAACAGGCTAATTAGTGAATCAACCGTCGATGAATTTGCACGTAACAACTATCCACAGTCGATGTCTCCACCTGCCCCAACCTGTCTTATCTGATGTTTTATCTTGTTGTCCTGCTAGTTTGTAGTTGTAAAGTTACTAAAAAACACTCTAGAGTCCTTGCTCCTTCCAGAAGTATTCTAACTTTATTAAGTAAAAAAAAAACACACATTACTAAATTGGGCGGCATGGTAGTTCAGTGGTTAGCACTGTTGCCTGGGTTTGAGTCTCTGCCAGGGTTCCGTGTGTGAAGTTTGCATGTTTTCCCCATGTCATCGTGGGGAATCCCCCCCCCCCACTGTCGAAAAAACACGCAGAGGCTAATTGGTGTTACCAAATAGCCCTGTGTGATGAGTTGGTGCCCCATCCTGGGTTGTTCCCTGCTTTGTGCCCTGTGATGGGTTGGTGCCCCATCCTGGGTTGTTCCCTGCTTTGTGCCCTGTGATGGGTTGGTGCCCCATCCTGGGTTGTTCCCTGCTTTGTGCCCTGTGATGGGTTGGTGCCCCATCCTGGGTTGTTCCCTGCTTTGTACCCATAGGCTCCAGAACCCCTGTGACACTGAACAGGATAAGTGGTTTCAGTGGATGGATGGATTACAAAATTATCCAAATTATTAAATTTTACTTTAAGGTAGGAAAAAAATAAGAATAAAGAATAATCCTCATTCCCTCAAAGGTGTGCAACGCAAAAAAACAAAGACGGGTAGCTTTAGACAAACAAGATACACTATTTACAATAAGAATTTTTAATCAGTACCCTATACTAGTCTATAAAGACTGTGATAATCAATCCATGTGACAACCATCACCGGTATGTTACACAAAAAGCAACATGTTGTATATTTATGATACGGCTCTAGATATGAAACAGTATGAAAATTTAGCATCACGATTATAGTGACCATAATTATCACGGCTATCAGTATTATCGCGGTATCGTTAAAATGCACTGGTACACAAACTGAAATCATTTCACCAAGTTTTATATTGAAGTAGTAATACTAACCATCTGGAATTTTACTGTGGTTCTCCCTGAAAATAACTGTTTCATCCTTATGTGGCTCTCAGTTCAGCCGACACAGTTAAGAAAAATATGGGTATTGGTTTTTTTTTTTTTGAAGACCTTCTACATTTCTAACAGCATTTTCAAAATTTATGTATAAATTATGTACTTCAGATGAGTGGTTCTCAAACTACAGTGCAGAGAGGTATCAGTGTAGTGTGCCATGGACGTGGTATGCAGTGAGAAAAGTTTGGAAACCACTGCTCTGGACGGTTTTGGACAGTACACCAATGTTTTAAGATAACTAAATCCGACGCTTTTAAAAATCTTTTTAATTAAATAAATAATTCTCTACAGAGACTGAAGAACGATAACCTGCACCTCCAGCAACACCCACAGTTGACGGCTCTTAACCAGCTGTTCATCAATACAGTTTTTTCACCTTTTCTTTCAACTAAATTAAATTAAGTGACCTGCTTGGTGACACATGTGTGGGGAGGTAGGTTGTTGGATGACTCGATATTATCGTTTATCATAGCATTCTTAATTTAAAATATTGCATATTATTTTTTAGACATGGCACAGCCTAAACATTAATTATAATTAAACATTAAACATAAATACTGGATCAAATGAAAGAGGAATTTTGCTGTCATTTACAATCACATAGATATTGCTTAAAAATTACCTGAGGATTTTAGTTATAACAGGGAACTAATAGTAAAATTAACCCCATTTGGCCAGGCATCACCACTGCGAGCTTCTAGCTATCAGTACCTTCACACCATACAAACGTGGTCGCTATGGTCTTTTCACAATTTCACTCTAAACTGGTCCAGTTTATACTGCCTAATTTCTAAAAATGTGTTCCACTTGTGTCACCAAAATTACAACATTACACAATACTGTAATTACCCTTGGTTTACCATAACATTTTCATATACAGCTGGACCTTGAACCTGCAACCATTAAGATACATGTCTTTGGTCTTAAGCATTTAAAAATATTAATGACATACAGTTCTGGGGAAAAAATTAAGAGACCACTCCTTATTAAAAAAAAGACTGCATTGTTAAATCCAGGTTTAATCCTGGTTCTGCTGGCAGAGGCTACACTGAGCAGCAGGATGTGTCTAGGCTCAAAATTACTAAGACAGCAGCAGAGAAGACCAAGGCGAAGCAGGAGACACTGGGAATGAACAAAAACCAGCCAGGTAGAGGGCAGAAGCGACTTTCTAATGCCAGAGATGGCCGTCAACTTATCTGACAGTTTCTCATGAATCAGAGGATGACATCAAGTGACCTTCAAAAAGAATGGGGAACATTAAGTGCAGGTGTGAGGTGCACTGCTGGGACAGTTCGTATCAGGCTCCTAGAAGCAGGACTTTAGTCCCATAAAGCAAGGAAGAAGCCCTTCATTAATGAGAAACAGAGAAGAACCAAGCTGCAGTTTACACCCATAAATCGAGAAATGAGTGAAACAAAAACTTGCTGTTGTCTTTTTTCCACGGCTGTATTTTTAAAAGCCCCGAATGCAGTACCGGCCAAGCAAACATGTGCCTGTTTTTCAGACATTAGGCTATACTGGAGATAAAATGGACAACAAAAAACAGGAACAAATGCTGGGGTCGTGACACGAAGACAGCACAGATGGGCCGTGTGCTGCCAAAACAGGAAGTCGCACTCGCTGTTTCCCGCTCAGAGAGGCCAGCACGTTCGTAGGTATCAGTGCGACCATGTCTACAAATATCTTGCGTTCAACTGATTACAGATGCAAAACTGAAAGTCAAAGTAATCATAAACATTTATTTAACGTTTCATTGATGAAAACATAAAAAAGTATAAATATTTATAATACAGCATTGTACACCTTTTCACAGCAAAAGTTTAGGGATAAGTTATTGTATTCAAACTTTTGCACAACTGTTTACGTAGAAAACCAGAACTTCACATCAAGAACCTATCTAACATTTCTACATAAAGCAGTGGTTTATAAATTTTCTTTGACCTGTATGAAAAGATGGGAAAATCAATGGATTACTTTATCAATAATGCTTACTAGTTTTTTGGAAAATAAATGCTCGTTGAGAAAGTGGTCACCAGGTGACACCATCATTTGCATATAAAAGGCGCATCCACAAAAGGCTCAAAGAGGAACAGTTAAGGAGTGTAGGATTTTGTATCTGTTCAACAAAGGTGGAGATTTCAGATCCAGAGAGAATCCAGACCAGAATTTTGTTTCAACCAAACAGTTGAGTATAAAGAGACACAGTCACAGAGTACTCAACTGGTTGGTTGAAACATTGTACTCTCTGGACCTGAAATCTCCACCTCTGCTGTTCAAGATATTTTCTGCACATTCCACAATGTTCCTAGTCTTACACCACACTGTCTCAACTGTTCTGGATCATGTTACAGGCACCAAATTCACATGAGCATATATCGGCAAAAATACAAAGCTGATAAGGTAAAACAACATCCCTGTCTATTTTCAATTTAATAGAGATCAAGGAGGACATACAAATCACTGCTTTCTGCTTTTGCCTGCATTTTAAAAACTCTCCAAACTGTACTGGTTTGTATAACGTAGGGTGGGTAAATCTCTGGGCTGTGCTGGATTACATTTCATGTGGACAATCAGGCTTCACAACTGCTGCGTCAGCCGTTAAGTCACTAATTAAAAGGCATCTAAAATACGCAGACCTGTGGCCCATGAGCATGTGAATTGTCCTGCCCCACTACACCAGTAACTGGGGAAACTGGTGCGATGAACCTATCCAAATTATTCTGGTATTGTCTACTGCGCTGCGTACCCTTCACAAACAAAGTAGTTGGCAACTGACGTGCTCTAGATTTCCTCAATTCGTGTCTATTTTTTGGTACTCTACATTATAAAATGACCACACCTGAAAGACACAGCTGGCTTACACTCATATTATTAAAATTCCAATCCAAACCACCTTTGTACAATCCATTGTCTCTTTAGTCCCATGTCATCCATCCACGTCACATCAGTACCTGTGATAATTAAACTTCCAACCCCACCCTTGCAATGCCCTATCCCCCCCCCCCAAAAAAAACTTTAGGACTGGGAAGGTGGTTGCGGTGGAGGCTGGGCGGGCGGTGGTTCTGGGTCCACGCGGCTGCGCTTGGCGGGAAGCCCGTGGTCATGCGCCTTGCGGATGTGGCGGTAGAGATCACCGGACTGCGTGTAGCTACGATAGCAATAGCGGCACTCGTAGGGCCGTTCGCGGGTGTGCACGATGGCGTGCCGCCGGAGGGTGTAGGCGCAGGAGAATGTCTTGCCACAGGTAGTGCAGGTGGGGACGTCCTCCACGTAAGGGCCCAGAGGGTCCTGGAAGTCCTGAAAGTACATCGCTGGCTGGTCGGCTTGCTGGGAGTGCTGGTGGTGTGAGGTGGACGGGAACAGGGTGGCCGAGAAGGAGGCGGAGTCTGACGCGTTGGGGCCCTGGGGCGAGAGGGGGAAGGTCAGCGTCTCGTGGTGGTGAGGCAGATGTAGGAGGGAAGGGTGGGGCAGGAACACTTGCTCATTCTCTTCAAATTCATCACCTTCCACCCCCTCGGCCCCTCGCCGCCCTTCCCTGTCCAGCATCCCCTCCATGTCATCAAGTTCTTCATCAGAAATGACAATAGCCTCCACCTTCACTTTCACCTTCACCCCATCGTCTTCCTGCTCTTCTTCCTCGCCCCCTCTTGCCGTGGTCGTTTCTCTCATCACGATCTGCAAGTCGCCCACAGTCACTTCCTGACTCGTACACGCTCTTTCTTGCCCCGCCGTCGTTTCCTCGGTCAGAGCTTGGGCCTGCACGTGTATGTGGTGCTCTGGGGGACTCTGCGATGAGAGCTGGGCCGCTACTGACTTCGGCAACGACGTCTGAGCGACGCTTCCCTGCGTCAGCTCTGCGGTGCCGTCGCTGGAGATCGCCGGACCCCCCCTCTCGGGGCTCTCGTTGCTGGTTTGAGTCGGCGTGACAGCTGTCGCCCAGGTGCTCTGTGTCTCGGAGATGGTGCAGCGATGCGGGAGCGGTACAAGGGAGGAGGACGAAGAAGAGGATGGGTGGTTGTTAGCGTACAACTCAGTGGAGCTGCAGGGACTTGCTAGGGCGGTGTCCCCATTGCTGCGAGGCCGGACTGCAGCACACACCGAACCAATCCCCGCAGGGAGAGAGTCCATGCCAGGCTGGGTGGTATCCGCTAGGTCTGGACTAGCTGAGCCAGATTTGACAGGATCATTGGGACTGAGAGACTCCTCACGCTCATCTATTTTGCTCTCTGGTCCATGAGGCACGAATTGGTTGAGGAGGGGGTAGGGGGGCACAGATGCTGCCGTCGCCTTAGTCAAAGCAGTCGTTCCCTCAGGTCCACCTCCCCCAGCGTCCTCTCCAGAGCCACCCCGTGGGGTCACACTAATCCCCGTCACACCTCCCCCAACTATTATGCACTCCTCCTCGGCCTTGGTGCTGTCCGCCTCGGCCAGTCCCCGGCCCTGCAGCCTCTTCTTGCAGACGCGCACGATGTCGTTCATGTGCAGGAAGCTCGCGGCGGCTAACACATCCTCCGGCGGCGGCTGGGCGGCCAGCTTTAAGGTGCCCTCGTACATGAAGTCCAGGAGCAGCCCAAAGGCCAGCGGGGTGACAATCTCCCCATTGATGGTGACTGTCTCCCTCTTGCCAAGCGGCTGCTCTGAATAGAACATGTGGAAGAAGGGTGAGCAGGAAGCGAGAACGGCGCGATGGGCCAGGAAGCGGGTGGCGCCCACCTGGACGGTGCAGTCACAGAGAAATCCTTGCAGGCGCTGGGCACGCAGGCTGGCCAGGAGCTGTTGACTATGCTGCGGGAACTCCATTGCCCCAGCAGCCTAGCAGAGGAGCGCGAGAAGCAGACAGAGAAAATGAAGAAAGACAGCAGTAGAGATGAAAGTATAAGGGTATCGAAGGAAGAACTGAATATGAATCGCTGCAGAAAGGCTAAAGGTGGCAAAGTGTTCTGCTCTGCAGACACTAGTATCCTGCTCTGCAGACACTAGTATCCTGCTTTGCGTCTCATGGCACAAGCGTTACGGCCGCCTCTTGCTTTCCGCGGGCCTACGGCTCGATGTGATGGAACAGAGAGAATAAACGCTACAAGCATTCCATCCCTCATCCCTCCTCCTGTGGGCCAGCAAGGAAGAAGGTAGAAGTGTAGCTGGAAAAGACAGACAAGCATGAAAAATAAAACCATCATTATAACACAACTGGGATGTTTGGAAAAAAAAAACGCTTACTATTTGTAGGTATCACTAATAAAACGGCACACTGTTCCTCATTTACTACACTAGTTGTACGATATACTACAGCATTCGGTTGCAATTCGTCATCGTCATGCGAGTGAACCATTTTAAATGGTAGCTTCGGAAACAATGGTAACTACTAGTATCAGTGACACTTATCTAACTGTACCATTTAGGTATCTCGATGACCAGTTACTTCATGGCAACATTCCTAGCGTTGCAGCATGCACAGGCAAAACAAGTACAGCACAGAACGTGATCAAAGTTTGAATCTGAATTAAAGAAATCTTTATTATGGTGCAATCATGAAAGCAACGCCACCTGTATTCAACATTTCTACAATTACCGGTTTTCTATAAGGGTTCAAATATTATTTAGCACCCTTTGACCAAACAATACTTCAGTGAGCAAGCCAGGATAACACGAGAAAATGACAGCTGAATGAGAATATGGCTTTAAAAGCTGTACCACAAATGTACCAGCATACAAATATATAGAGCAGGCATTCATAATTCACTGGAAACATGAGACACGAGTCATCCTGCTTCTATTAGCTAGCTAGCTAAGCAAACAAACCGGCCTTTTCGGCTCTCGCTCGAACGACCTGCCGCTGACAGCAGCGCTAACTTTGAAAACACCCGTTTTCAGACGTGACCTCACAATAAACAACAGAGCAAACGCAAGAAACAATTATCAATAATAAACAGCAAACGAATGTCTCACCGACACACTAAAGCAAGACAGATGTCTGCCTCTCGTTTTCTCTGTTCTCAGCAAAAATGGCGCTGGGTAAGACCCGCCCACTAGGGGGGCAATCTCTTCATCCGATTGGTTCAGAGGTGTGCCGAGTAAGCCCATTGGTCGCATTTTTTGGTATTTCCAGCCTGCAGACGCTTTACACGCTGGTGTTTTTTTCTACTTTTTATGGGAGGCACGGTGCTGTAGTTTGTTCAGTCTTGACAGAAGAGCAGCTGTATGTCTCGACAAGTTTTGTGTCGCTTTCCCAATTCTGTGTCCTTGAGCGGCAAATAAGATTAAGGTATGCGCTCCTTAGTCACGATTATAGACAGTGGTCAAGGTTCCGCCTGGCTAGCGTTTAATGAGGATCTGAAATTGCTAACTGTAAGATCTGTAATGTTTTTTTATGCACGCGAGAATCTCGGGCCATAGTAAACAAGTGCCTGGTGCTGTCGCCTTGTTAGATGTTTCTTTTATCATTTAGTGGATTTTAGTATCGTTCCGGTTTTTTTTGTTTTACAGAGTAGTATGTGGGATTGACCTGGGAACAAAAGCAAAGCATGACGTTTTTCTACTCGTTATTTAGTAACATATTTTTGCGATCATCAGATTATTCGTTTTAGGTGATGAAAGAAATTCCCTTGAATGTGATGTTAACAAAATTATTTAATGTCTACAATCGGTATAAATCAAATTCTGAAATATACACTCATTGTCTACTTCATTAGGTACACCATTCTAATACTGGGTAGGATCCCATCTCCTGTCAGAACAGACTGAATTCTTAAGGTAATGATATACACAAGGCAGCTTTTTCACCAATGTTGCCAGGCAACTGCCAAGCAGGTGAGACAAAGGACAACTCATCTGGATCTGGATGATAGTGTGAAGTTGCCCACTGTCAGTAAAAGTTCTTTAAATAGAAATCTGTTGGCCAGTATCAGTGGAAACGTGCCCAAGCAACATTGGTCAACAAGTTGCCGCGTGTATCATCACTTTTAGTGGCCTGAACTGCACAAGGTTGTGGGAACATTCCATAGACATGATTGTTGCAATTTTGTTGGCCCCATGTCGATGCTGTGAATCTCCCATTCCACCACCTCCCAAACAGATTCAGACCCTGTGACTGGGGAGGCCTCTGGGAGCACATGAGTGTCATTGTCATGCTCATGGAACCAGTTTCACAGGTTTTCTGGCATGATGCCTAATTCTTGCTGGAATTAGCCAATACAAGATGGATAACTTGTGCCCATAAAGGGACACACAAGGTCAGCAACTATACTCACATGGGGAACTCTGTGTACCAAGAATGCAATCTCCATATTATTGCGGCACCAGCAGCAGCCTGAACTGTTGACACAAGGCAGGTTGGGTCCATGAATCCATGGTGTTTACCTCAGATTCTTCCATCCGTGTGGTTCAGCAGAAATTGAGATTCATCACACCAGGCATCTTTGTTCTAGTCAGGAGCTGTCAGGTTTTGATGACCCTGTATCTGCTGTAGCCTCAGTTTGCTGTTCTTAGCCCGTCAGGAGTGGAGCCCGATGTTGTCTTCTGCAGTTGTAGCCCATCCTCCTCCGGGTTCAGCGCGATACGCTTCACTGTTGTAAATTGTGGTTATTTGACTTAATGGGGACTTCCTGTCAGCTCGAGGCAGTATCTGCACCTCTCTCATCCACAAGGTGTTTCTGCATATAGAGCTGCTATTCACTGGATGTTTCTTGTTTTTCGCACAGTTCTCTGTAAACTCTAGAGACTTGTGTGTGAAGATCCCAGGAGATCAGCAGTTTCGGAAATGCAGAAAGCGGCCCATCTGGCGCCAACAGCCATGCCTTTGTCAAAGTCACTTAGATCATATTTTTTCCCCCATGTTTGATCTGACCATTACCTAAAGTCCTTGACCCACGTCTGTATAATGTTATGCGGTCGGGTGCTGCCAGGTGCCAATAATACTATTACGGCCCTTGCTATATATAAATGAATTTCAGCATATTTTCTACTAGTAAGCTAATAGACATGCATTTTGTTAACCCGTCATTATATGTTAAGTGTGTATATTGAATACATATTTATTATAATCTATAGCATTAAACCTTTAATGCATGAGACTTTATACTTTTAATATTTAAAGTTTACCTGTATAATTATATTAGGCTGTGTAGTTTTATTGATGTTACTGTTCAGTTCTATCTAAGGAGCTTCTAATGAAATGTCATATTCCCTTTGATGTCTCCGTAGTCCCCTTTACTATGAGGTAGAATATGGAGAGGGATGTGAGAGAGAGTGGTCGAAGAGGAAGAGGAGGCGGAAAACGACGTGGTAATCGTGACGGAGAGGTGAGAAGATGATGTCATTTCTGTAGTGATAGCAATAGCAAGTGACTTGTGGTAGTAATGGAAGTTCCTGTTGTGTTTTGTAGGACAGAGATGTTCGCCTCTCCAAGTCTCTGTCCTACGCTCTGCGCCACGGGGCAGCTCAGATGGGGCTAAACATGACCTCTGGTAAGAGTTTGGTAGGGCTAAATTAGTCATGGTTCTGTAAAACGGATACCTTGGCAGACATTTGGCTTTATATGATCTTAAGTCTTTGGCTGACCGAAGTGGTTTAATGTACAGTAATTTATGTATGAGTATGAAATTTAACTGTTGCCTAAGCAGTAATGACATTGTCACACTCAGGTGGATTTGTGATGGTGGATGACATATTGTCGCACCATCAGTTCCGTGGCTTCTCATTGGAGGACATAGAGAAAGTGGTGGCCAGTAATGACAAGCAGCGCTTTAAGCTTTCCCGGCATCCAGATAATGGAAAGCTACAGATCCGGGCCAATCAGGGTCACTCTCTGCAGGTGAGCCTTCTCCTCTTGACCATCATATAAACTGAAAGTGGTCGCACAGTCGTGCTTCACAGCACCAGGATTGCTACTGTGTTTGTGGATAGACGTCTACATCTCTTGTTCCTCTGACTCAGGTTGCAGACCTAGACCTTCGGGAGGTTCGGCCGGATGCTCCAGACTGTCCCAGGGAAGCAGTCCATGGCTCGTATCTCCAGCACTGGCCTTCCATTCGTACTCAGGGCTTGGACCGAATGGCACGGACCCACATCCATCTGGCACCCGGGTTGCCAGGGGCAGAGGAAGTCATCAGTGGTTAGTGAGAGTGTAGGGAACAAGGGTGCAGCTGCGCAAGGGGGAAGGAGGAGGAGATGTAGGGCTGTGTTTTCATCTGCGTGATTGTTGTTGGTGGAAATCTGTTTTCCTGTACAGGCATGCGGCCCAACTGCACATTGGCAGTTTACATTGATGTCCCCAAGGCACTGGCAGGTAAAAACAGACCGTTTCTTAACTGTCCTGCATGTCCTACATGTTTCCAATAATGCATTTGTTACCACTTGACATGCTAGGTGAACCGATTAGTTGTCCAAATTAATACTATAAGCAAAAAATCTGCCACAAGTTGTGGGCGGAGCCAGGGATAAGATTCCCTGTGCTAGTTAACTGAAGCCCATATTAAATGCTGATCCTATTGATATTCTTATGTAAACATGTGATTTTTATAAACTAAAGATGGCGTCCGGTTCTTCTGGTCATCCAATGGGGTCCTACTGACGCCTGGCAATGCAGAAGGGAAGCTGCCTTCCCTGTATTTCACCCGTGCTGTCAGGCTGAAACCTACAAGTGAGTCTTCTCTCTTGCTGAGTCTGCCTGCCAGTGCTGCTGTAATGTTAGATCTTCGATGAGAATGTAGTTTTTTTTTTTTGTTGGTCCATAATTTATGGTCCATTTGCTGTTTTACAGGTTGTGAACTTCCACTGGTGTAGGTAGAAGACGCGAGCGTGGCTATGAGCGTGCATGAACGCAGCAGGCACTGCACTGGATCCCCGCAGCAACTGGAGAATTGCAGTGGAAAGTGAAGAATAACTTCCTGCAAAGCTTTGGCTAATGTGTCCACGTGGGTCTTTAAAGTGATGAGGGTTACCGCTCCATTCTTTGCACAAGTATTTCTTAGTTGAAGAAAAATTAAGGAATGAACTTGAAATTGCCCAAGACAAAGGATGAAAAATTTTTAAAAATGAAGCGTCAATAAAAAATGAGTTTTCCACACCGTCCTGTTATGGAAAATGCTAAGCTAATAAACCTTGAATAACTGGTGGACAAAATGAGCAGCGGCCTTATCCACACTTCAGTGGGTTAGAAGTGCTGAATCTCCACAGGCGGTGAGATCAACCGTCTTTATGAAACGTTCATTCAAGTCGGGCAGTGTGCACAGCTACAGATAGGGTCTTGTGGCTTCCTGTGGTGTAACAGACCTTGGTTTCACAGAGTGTACCTCCCTTCAATGATGCAACTGACAGCGGAAAAGGGAGGACATTTGACCTTTTGACCTTTAAGCCTCAGCGCCAGTACCTTATTGGTCACCCGAGATTATCCAAAGCCATGTTGCGCTTAGTCGATCAAAATGCAATACATCAAACAAGCTGTTTTCACTGAAGCATGATGGTAAGAGGCTGTTTTGCTGCCTGAGTGGCTTATAGTCATTTAAGGCCTGGTGAAGCTACATTATATGGACAAAGTATTGGGACACCAGGCCTTTGCCTCCACAGTAACTTTCATGACATTCCATTCTAAATCCATAGGCATCGATATGGAGTTGCCCCCTCTTTGCAGCTATAACAGCTGCCACTCTTCTGGGGAGGCTTTCTGCAAGATTTTGGGGTGTGTCTGTGGGAGTTTTTGCCCATTCATCCAGAAAAGCATTTTTGAGGTCGGGCACTGATGTTGGACATGAAGGCCTGGCTCTCAATTGCCATTCTAGTTCATCCCAAAGGTCTTAGATGGGGTTGAGGTCAGGGCTTTGTGCGGGCCAGTCAAGTTCTTCCACGCCAAACTCACCCAACCATGTCTTTATGGACCTTCCCCAAGGTCATGCTGGAACAGAAAAGGGCCGCCTTCCCCAAACTGTTCCCACATAGCATAAAAGCATAGATTTGTCCACATTTTCTTGGCATGCTGAAGTATTAAGAGTTTCCTGCACTGAAACTAAGAGGCCCAGCCCAACCCATCCAAAACAACTCCATACCATTATTCCTCCACCAACAAACTCTACATTTGGCACAATGCAGTCGGGCAGGTAACGTTCTCCTGACATCCGCCAAACGCAGGCTTGTCCTTCAGACTGGCAGACAGAGATGATTCGTCACCCCACAGAACACAGTTCCACTGCTCCAGAGCCCGGTGGCAGTGTGCTTTACTCCACTCCATCTGACGCTTGGCATTGCGCTTGTTGACGTGAGGCTTGCATGCAGCTGCTCGGCCATGGAAGCCCATTCCATGAAGCTCCCTGTGCACAGTGTTTGTGCTGGAGTTACTGCCAGAGGAAGTTTGGAATTCTGCAGTTATTGAATAATCAGAGCGTTGGTACAGTAACTATGCACCTCAGCACTCAGAGACCCCGCTCTGTTACTTTACCTGGTCTGCCACATTGTGGCTAAACTTCCGCTACTCCTAAATGCATCCACTTACAGTTGACCGTGGAATATCTAGCAGGGAAGAAATTTCACAAACTGACTTATTGCAAAGGTAGCATCCTATGACAGCACCATACCTGAATTCACTGAGCTCATCTGAATGACCCATTCCTGCACAAATGTTTGTAACCCTGACTGCATTGCTAGGTGCTTGATTTTATACACCTGTGGCAATGGGTCTGAATGAAGCATCTATATTCAATGATGGCGTGTTCCAATACTTTTGTCCATATAGTGTATACAAGGAAATACTACAGATAGATTTCAGAGCATTGGGCTGGGATCCCATACTCAGAAGTTGGGTCATGCAAAATGATCCAAAACACAGGAGTAAATCAGCAACAATGAACAAGATAGGTTCCTGACCTCAGTCACCTCTAAATGCTATCCAGTGATCTGCAGCAGACTGTAGAAATAAGAGATCCAAAAACATGCATTGCCTGAAGCAGTGTTGTTCAGAGGAATTGGCAGAAATTCCTCCTAATCACTGCACAGATATGGTTATAAGATACTGAAAGCTTTTGGTTAAGGCAAATGAAGGAGGTTCCACTAAATATTCACATACATCAGTGACCTGGATTTAAAGCATTCATTCAAAAAACTCACAACAATATAGAATGTTCTAGGTGCTGTATGTTAAATAAGACTTTATTATGACTTGAATAAAGATCATGTCAAATATTAGGAGCCTTTCATGTAGAAATCCAGATAATTCCAACTGTAGTTGTAATTCTACAGTTCATAGTTAAATATTTGAGTAATAGATTATATGTTAAAATGTAAGCATATTTTGTTATAATTTATTTTAGAGCAGTTTGATATTTTTAGACACCTAAATATGAGCTGTATTATCAGTTGTCAGCGTAATTCTCCAAGCATTTTAATATTGCCTTTATAGTACATCATTTCATTTTGTTTCAGGTGCAAATCACTCTAATTTACTTTCAAACTTTCAAACGTTTTCAATGAAAGATTGGTTTCTGCATTCAGCAGACTCAATTCAGCAGTATCCCTGTAACATAATGTTCTCTAAGCTCTAGTTTATCGGCCAAACATGAATCAGCAAAACCTAATCCATGCCAGCCCTTCAGGAAATTAATTAAATGCCATTACTAGAACCCATAAAAAATCGTGAAGTTGCAGAATGTATCACCTCATGATAACCGACATGTCCATCAGTTTGGATGCTGTTTTTTAATTATTATTATTAGGTGCGAAAATGCAAACGCTACATACAGTTGAACATCTAAACCGTTCTCCTCCATCACTGCAAGTGTTAAACCGCAAATCATTTATAAATAGACACAGATTAAACATTCTTAATGATGCTGATATAGAAACAAAAATGACAAAAAAATGAAACCCTGTGACTGGTAGCTTGTGAATGCTTCAGCAGAAAATCAAGGCCGCTGGAGAACGGAGATGTGACTGAGGTCGCTGCATTTTCATAAGGCCTCGTGTCCCCCGGTTAGCTTGTGGAACATCTCCTCATTGAGGGTGTCGCTCTGTTCACGGGCGCGGGTGGACATAAATATGTAGCCGCCAATGTATTCGTGCACAATCTTGCAGTCCGCCGTCACGCAGCTGAAGGCTATGTTCACATTGCCGTCAAACTCAATGGCCACCTGGAGGAACATGGGAAGGGTGGAGGTGAGTAACCGGATACCAGGGTGAGTGTTATTAACAACTGTGTATCCAACTTGCTGCTACTGTAGTATATAGCACAAACCTCAAATGAAGACATGAACATGATTAAAGGATCATGTTGTTATTTGAATGTGAGTCAACCTTACTGCTGAAGATGCATATTGAGTTGTGCAGCAACCATAATCACTTTGTTTTTTTAGCCATGGGTTTGCTCCGTGTAAGAAAGTATCAGGTTAACTTAACCAGAACGGAATGCACTGTATTCAATCAACTAGTGTAGTGTTTCCCAATCCTGTCCTCGGCGACCCACAGACAGCCCACGTTTTTGCTCCTGGTAGGGAGCTGGGAGGGAACAAAGACCTGGACTGGCTGTGGGTCCCCAAGGACCGGACTAGGAAACACTGAACTAGTGTATAGTGCTATATTGAAGTTAAAGGTTGCAGAGTGTTTGACTGTAAGCATATAACAGTCAGGAGTTACTCCTCAAACCACAGCAGAAGCTTAGCGCTTAGCCTCTGATGTGACCTTAGGGATGGTTCTCAGAAGCTTCCATACATACAAACATACATACATACGTGTGTGTGTGTGTATATATATATATATATATATACACCAAATATTTGTGTTTAGTATCCCTTTGGGAGCCAATGACAATTGCAATTAATAGCAAAATGGCAAGAACAGAACTGAATGGGTCTGTCTGAAAATGATGACACTTAATGAAAATAAGGTATCTGTGCGGAACATATTTGCAGATGTGTTAAACGTTGCTCACCAGTGGAATTTTGTTATGGAACCAATAAATTTGCAGCATTTTTACAGAATTAAGCCCAAGGCTTTTCAAACAAAAGTGAATATACTAACAGAAGCGTTCATCCAGACTCATTACTGCCAATGTATTGGGTCCATGAGTCTGGGGTTGTACATCCCTCCCACATCCCCCCACATCCCTCCCACATCCCTCCCACTATCAGAAACGCTCCCATGGCTTGTGGCCCCTCTGATATAGAGAAGTGCAGCCCACCTGCCGGATGTCCCAGTTGACGTTCCACTGCCTCATGTTGTTGTAGCGCCAGGTCTTCACTACATCCCCGACACCCAGGTCTATGCGGATCAGCCGGTTGTTAGCGATGCCGAGGACCTCGTCTTTCCGACTGCCCTTAAACCTGGGGGGGGGGAATCACTTCTTTAGCCCTCTGTTGTAATGCATAAAGCAGATCATGCCAAACTGGGTGCCTGGAGATGATTTTGTCCCCTGAACATAACACTACACTATATCTTGACTTCATCTGTCAAACCTATGTGTTAAACCTTACCTGCCAACGTGCTTGTGAATGGAATAAGCAGAAAATATGGTGCCACTTTACAATAAGGCTACTCATATATAGAGTTTATGAATAGTTTATAATCTGGTTATTAATAGACAATGTTAAACAAGTTTTAACACTGTTTTCTTTTTATTAATGAGTTACTGCCATTTACAAGTGGCAAAGGGGAGCCTTATTGTAAAGTGGTAACGAAAATACTACAGTATATCTGGAATTTATATCGGTCAATAATGAAATGCAGGTATTATTTGGACATGAACCTCATGTAGTGGCAAGATTTCATACAATCGTGATAATGTTTCTCCTTCTATTGTGGTACATTTGTCTTCTGCGTCTCTGATGTTGGTTGGTACCGGTTTGCACACACAACAGGGCTATGTGTACATCACTTTCTTATAGCTGACTGACTTTCTGTAAACTGTACAATATGGACTGCATTTATAAAGTGCTATTTACTACTCTTACGAGTACCAAAGCGCTTTACAGTTATGCCTCACATTCACCCATCCACACTAACATTCACACACCGGTGGTGGAGGCTGCCACGCAAGGCACCAACCAGCTCACCGGGAGCAATTTGGAGTTCAGTGTCTTGCTCAAGGACACTTCGATGGAGTCAGGAGGACCCGGGGCTTGAACCTGCAGCCCTCCGGTAGCTGA